TTATTTTAAAATTAATTTATTCTTTAAACCCAAACCCAAACCCAAACCCAAATCCAAACCTAAATCCAATCCAATTACAATTAAACTTAACCCAATACTATCCAACCCAACCCAACTCCTAACCCAACCCACCCCATTCCTTTAACCCTAATCAATAAATCTAACCCAAACCCAAATATTGAGCCCAATAACCACTTTCATAAATTAACCCATTAAAACCCAAACCCAAACCCAAAAAACCCTAGTTTTCCTTTCTCTTTAAAAGGGGGGAGCCACTGTGGCTGCAGATGGCACAAAAGGCTGCAGACGGAAAAAAAAAAAAAAAAAAAAAAAAAGCTGGATTCTTCTCCCATCCAGAACCCCTTTCTCAAAATTTTCCTCCGAAGTTGGTCTCATTCTCGTTTTGTCAATTCTCTTCGTTGGTCATGAGAAATCAAAAGAAAAGGGCGAGATTGCGTCTTTGGAAGAGGTCGAAACATAAAGGTCAAGAAGAATCCTGAGTAGTTTCCTTAAATGAACGTAGCAGCGGTAAGGGAATCTAGCTCCTCACCTCTGACCTCTTATTTTGAAAATCAATAGTTTCCACCTACATCACCGGTCATCACCTGATTCTTCTCCCATCCAGAATCCCCTTTCTCCATTTTCTCCGATCGTGGGATCCCTCCTTCAGATCTGGATCTGCCTTTCTCCAAAATTTTCACCTTGGGTGTTTTTGTTTCATATTCTGCAATTTCCTGATGTTTGATGCTTAAACTTGTATGAATTTGCTAAAAGTGAATGATATTTAGTTGATTCTTGCTTGTATGAATCTGCTCTGCCGCTGGCCTGCTGCCGGACCGGATCCATCTGCTTTGTTGCCGCTGGCCTGCTGCAGAATCAGATCCATCTGCTTTGCTGCCGCTAGAGCGATTTGCTGCTGCTACGAAGCCATCTGCTACCATTGTTGTTGCTACCGTTTCCCGTGGGGAATGGGGATCCCCGCGGGGATCGCCATTCCCCGCGGGGAACGGGGACGGGGGGCAAAATCTGCCCCCCGTAAAAAATCCCCGCGGGGATCCCCGTCCCCGTGACTCACGGGGACGGGGATGGGGAAGGGGTCCCCGGCCCCGCGGGGCCCCATTGACATCCCTACTTGATATCCTCACGCCCAACCTAAGAAATAAGTGTTGGAATAGGCCCAGCCCAACACCCAAACAGGGCTGGGCTATGAATAACGGGCCTAGGTAACCACCTAGTAGCCCAAGCTGAAAGAGCATCGATGCAAGCATACCCACGTGACCAGCACCACGTGGGCCAAGGGGCTGCTTGCACGTGTAGATGTATGTCAGCA